CTCACACACAAGGTCTAGCCTGGCAGAGGCAGGAGGCCAGCTGTGGCTACTTGTCACACTCCAGATCCTGGGCCCCCTCAGTACCCTGGTAGTGCATCTCACAGAACTCCTGAATGCGACTGCAGGCCTCTAAGATCATCTCCTCAGGCACAGTGATCACCACACGGAAGAAGTTTGGGTACTCAAAGCACTGAAATGAGAAAGGATGAGGCTGGCAGATTACACCAGACAGTGCTGTAGTTTTAAAGCCCTGCCCTGGGGCCATGTGCTGTATTAGCAAGTGAAAAGGGTCAATGTAGGACAGACTGGAGGACAGCAGGGCAGGGCTCTTGCTCCCTTAGACTGTTTTTTCTGTTCGAAGCAAATCTCCATTCTCCATCTGTGTAGACAAGATGTTATGAGGGTCACAGGCCACAGGACTCTGCATGGACTATGCAGGACTCAGGAAATGGGCTGGAAGGAGCTAGGGAAGGAGGACCGGAGAGTATCCAAGGCTGTAAGTGGAGCTGGAAGGAGGCGGGCACAGATGTTCTCAGCCTGTAGTCTGTCCCTGTGCCATAGGTGGGAGCAGTCCCACTCTCAGCAAGCAGCTTCAGCAAGGAGGTGTGCAGGTACATAGGGTTCAGGGATACAGCTCGGCCAACTCGAGAAATACAGAGCAAGCCTGGAGCTGGGAAGAGCCTGGCAGGCTGACTGAGGGCTGTTAATGAGCCAGAGGCGGCCAGTCCCCATCCCTACACACAGCACTTGGAGCTCACAGCCAGCACATTCACACCATGGACACTGCACACATAACTCCCAACCTGTCCCCAGAGCTCAGGGCTGCAAACCCCTGTTGCTTCTCTCCCCATGCTTCAGCCCCATAGCTCCCTGGTAGGCTCACCGTGGCTGGCAAGCAGAACACAGACTGCTCCGAGATGAGTCGTTCTGTGAACTCCACATCGTTTTCAAACTCAGGGAAATGCTCCATCTCAATCTCAACCTGCAGCAGAGGGATGTAACATGGCAACCAAGGGCACCAAAACTCTCTGCACTGTCCCTGCTTACCCACATGGCCCAACAACTTCAGTCAAGTGCAGCTGTCTGCCCTCAATTTTTGCTCATGATTTGTGCTTACTGGAATGTAAGACACAAACAGAAACATATAAATGAAAATTGGGACTTCTTTAAGAAGTAATTAACTACCTAAAGCTGGAATTGCAGTTAAGGGCGACTTTGGTAAAAAAAGCTGATGGCAAAGATATAGTAACCAATCAGAAGTGAAAAGCAATAAATAATGAAAAAAAGAGCTTGGGAGAGAACTCTAGTCACTATGCACTAATAAAGCTGTCATGCAAGAAATCCATATGGTAAGAAAAAGACAAACTGATGGTTTGGGTTCTAAAAAAAAAAAAAAGATAGCAAGGTTTAGAATATCACAAACAAAATAAATCATTGTAGGAGGATATAATTGGGAAAACGACACAGAAATGCTGAAAGGTTCAGCAAATATTTCTGTTCTGTATTTGGAAAGAAAGAGGCTGTCCGTTTATCACATAAAGACAGTGATATCCTGGTCATTTGTTTATAACCAAATATTTTATACATCTCATGAAAATACTCTTAAAAACCAGGTGAAGCCAGTGGAAGAAAAAAATTTTATCAGATTATTTAATTTGAAACAAATGTTCAGATACTGCAGAAATACTATAGGTGTGAAAGAATCTTAAGAGTTGCACCTCCACACAAAGAACATAAGCAGAATGACCTGTGTAAGCTCTGGATAAGACTGGAACCAGGGTCAACTGATAAAGATTTATCTACAGAACACAGGTGAGATTGTTTGTTGCAGTGTTCTCCAGTTCTGGGCCCACATTTTTAAAAGCTCAAGAAAAACTGGAGACACAGAGGAAAAAAAAAAAATAATAAATGTCTCAATTGAGTTTGTTGAGATGAAAAAGGAAATTTAACCACATCATAAAGTTTGAAAAAAAATACAGGTATGGGAAAAAGCAGAAAAAGATGCAACAGCATAGGCAGGAGACAGACATGCTGGTAGGACGGCGGCTACATCTTTAACAGGAAGTATGATAATCTGACTTGTGTAGGGGCTTCCCGTTGCCAGCTGGCTTCAAATCCAGGTAAAACAGCATTGTCTTGCAAAGTACATGTCATTCATTGACTTCTGTGCAGGAGCAAGCAGGTGAAGTGTACCCGCCTCTGCTATGTGAGAAGTGATCAACATATTCAGGCCTTCAAAAGTGACCAAGGGATGTGTCTGCCACACAGGGCAATGTGAAAATGCATGGTAATGGATAACTGGAACCTTTGACAAGCACTGGCCACAAGACATAGGGTGAGCATTGATGATCTGGAAATGGAATGTTGGTGCCCTTGCTTACCATGAGGTACATGGCTCCGGCGGGCCGCACAGGCTGGAGGCCAGGGATAGCTGATAAGGCAGCATAACAAAGGTCAGCATTGGACTGAAAAGCAGAAAGGAGAAATTTCAAAACAGGAGAAATTCCAGGAAGAAGCTCAGCAAATAGAAGCCAAGCTCTGGACCAGGACTACAAACAGGTTCGCCCACTGCAAATAAAGGGTCAACGAATGCAAACAGCATGGGTGATCATGGCCTTGAGGACATCAGGTGTGACTGAACTGAGCTCGGCAAGTCAGTGCCAAACCTCCCATCCCTGGGTCACCAGCTCCAGCTGCAGGGCTGGGCTGCCCGAAACTTATCACAGTCAGTATCTCTGCCCCAGTTACCATGTCTCCTGCTGGAACTGGGTTTGTTGAGCTCTCCTAGTCACAAACAGAACTGCACCTTGTAGTGGGGTGGGAAGATACAATGAGCTAGAGAGATAGGACTCCCATCAAACAATCCATGAACAAACCATGCTGACCTGTTACAGCCCATTTACCTTGAGGATGCTGAGGGTGTTGTGGTAGAACTCAGGAGGCGTTTGGTGCAATATACGTTCCAGTGCTCCTTGGACAATTGTACAGGGTCCTAGGATCCTCTGACTCAGTCTTAGAAGGCCATCCCTGATCTGAAAAATAGGTGGTGATATTTGCATCTCAGACTGTGCATCACTGAAGGAAAGGGATAGCTCCAAGGCCTACTCTGTGTATTTCTACAGCTGTTCACACCCCTCTCTTCAGTGAGCATACAGAGTACTAAAGAATATTTGGCTTGACTATATACCAGGTATTTGCAGACTATTTACGGTGTCATTCTCTGTTCCTCAGTTGCAGATTCTAATGCCGACAGAGACAACCTTTGCAGCTTCCCAGTCTGACTCAAACCAGTCTGGAATATAACACAAAGAAAGCCGGGCTGTTCTAAATACCATTTTGCATTTCCCTTAGGTTTTGGCTCACAATCCACACTTTCAAAGCCAGGTAGGGACAACCAACATTAGCTCTTTTGCTCACTTAGCTAGTCCTCTCTTCTCCCTCTTCCTCTGCAGAAAGCCCTCTAGGTGGAAAGGTCACTGCAGTAGATGGTAGATGGTTGTTCTTGTAACAGAGCTGAACAAATAGCAAGATAAGGCACTGGCAGCACTGCAAAGGTGCTTTGTTCTTACTTTTAACAGAAACCATATAAGAGCACATAGAGACCGCACACGGCCTCCACACGCTGGATAAGCCATGCAACACCTTCCATACACACTGGAGCTATTTGAGAACAGAAGGAATTAGAAGCACACAAAAAAAGGACAAGGCATGTATGAAGGAGCAGCAGAGACAAGGAGTGTGTTACAGTGTAGATGCGGGTAGAAGGCCCATGGGAGCAGATGGAGTAAGGAAGGGACGTGAAAAGCCTCGAGGTGCAGAAAAGCATGTAAGCAATTGGGTGACACCTGTGAGAGAACAAAAGAGAAGTACATGCCTGTATCAATTAAAGCCCTGGTGATCTACACACTGAAGACACTGTAGGTCTGTTGACAGCAACACTCAGCAGTTCTCACCTCATTACCAAAGATGTCTCTTCTGTCATGAATTAGGATCCAGCCCATCCGCCAGCCAGGGACTAGCCACCGCTTTGCCAAGCCACCACAGGACAAGATTGGCACGTTGGTGCTGAGAGTTGCAATGGGTTCATATTTGCAGTCAGTAAACACCTGCAACAGAAGGCTGTGTTAGCGCTGTCCCTGCCTCTTGTTGCAAGAACTGGGGGGGGGGGGGGGGGGGGGGGGGGGTGGTGGTATGTGCATGAGGCACAGAAGCGATGGGAAATTGACACTGAAAGCTCCCAGCTTCAAGGTATGAAATGGTAAGCACACTCACATGAAAGCCAGTCATTTGGGAAGAGGAAAGGAGCTAGACGTGAAAGGTAGCCCCAGGACTGCACACCAGAGGACTGGGAGGTCCAGGCATGGACCCAGGCACAGTATAGGAGAGTGGAGCTGTCACTCACCTCTGGAGACCTGGCTGCCATGGCCAAAGGGCAAGTGCATCAGAAAGAACAGGCAGTGTGGGGGTGCAAGGGACTTCAGCTGACACTCACCATGTCTCCATAGATCTCGTCAGCAAGGATGGGCACACACTGTCTTGATGCCACTGTGGGAGAGAGGGCATTCAGCCTGGCCACCCTGCACGGCAGCAGACTTGCCCTTTGCTGTCAGGCTTGGCAGGGCTCTGAGAGAAGCTCTGTCCCAGGGCAGAAGGTTCCTATCTTCCTCATACAGACTGTTGGTTCTGAGAGCCCAAGCATTGGAGATCCCTGCACTGGCTGAGCCTAGTTCTGCTCTCACCTGTGGGGGCAGGCAGCACAGCCCTCCCACTGACAAGCCAGGGCTCCCTGTGAACACTGTCCCTCTGTGGAGCCAGAGCAATGAGCAGCCCAAGCCACATGGAGTGTTTGAGGAAGGGCAAGACACACGCTTGGCATGTTCTTGCCCAGATAAGGCAACACCTTCACACTGAGCAAGCTCTGCTTCCTGAGCTGGAGTCAGTCATAATGAGAGAAGCAGAGCCCTGGGCCATGGTGCTGCAGCGATCGAGACGTGGGAAATGTGGGCAACCATGTCACAGATACACGGAGGCAGGCTCACCTGCCAGGATCTTCTGGAGATGGCTCTTGCTGAACACAGAGCCACAGGGGTTCGATGGGTTGTTCACAATGATGCAAGCTGTCTTCTCATCCACCAGAGACTCCAAGTGCTCCAAATCAATTTCCCAGGCCTTCTCTGGCTAGTGAAGTGAAGAGAATGGGAAGTAACAGCTAAGAAACCAGACTTGCCACAAAGGGTGAGGTGTGACAGAGTGCCCAGGGTTGCTCAGGTCATCTTCACCTACTTTCCAGGCAGGGCCTGGGTATTTCTGAGAGGCAGAAATGTCAGGACTGCCCCTTCCAGGCCTGCCACCACTTACCAAGAGGTTGTAGAGTTTGACCTCAATCCCCATAGACAATGCCAGAGTCTTGTAGAGGGAGAAGCCAGGCCGAGGCACAAGGATATTCTGGCCTGGGTTGGCCAGCACTGCCAAGGCAAGCTCTATGGCCTGGCTGCAGCCGCTCGTTAAGATGACATCCTGCAAAGAGCACACAGGAGTCAGCAGAAAGCACGGCTCCTCTGAAGTGCCCTGGCCACGTGGGAGTGACATAACATCCAGGCTCTGCCAGGCGAGAGCTTCTCGGCCAAAAAGACAAGTCCAGAGCTTGACTGAAAGCAGGAAACCTCCAACAGCTGGAGTGCTCTCCTACACCCTCCTCAGAAGAAGGCTGAAGGGCTCGGGGCAAGGGATAAGAGCAGCAAAAGGCCACTGTGGGACAAGGCCACGGGCTAGCCTTCAGTCCCACAGCCAGGTGTGGGAGGGAGAGAGCTAGGGCAGGGCCCCCATGCCGTGTGGTCTAGGCATGGGGAGCAGCACCCTGCCTGCACTGCAGCAGGAGTGCCTCAGCTGGGCACCAGTACCTGGGCCTCCAGTGGTGCCTCTGGGCAGTTGTAGTATGCGGCCACCGCTTCCCGGCAGGACTGGTAGCCTGAGGAAAGAGGAGCCAAACATGGAAGGGAGGTTTTTGCAGACTATTTAATTTTTCTTGCCAGTACAAGGGTCATAGCTGCCACCCAGCTAAGGGAAGCCCATTAGTTAGCGACACTGTCCCAAGGTGGGAGAGACTATCCTGCCTCAGGCCAAGCATTGTGCAGCCCCAAGGCTGGGCCAGGCAGGCCAAGAGCAGGGACAGACCCTGGGCAGGGAGGCGGCTCTGGCCCCAGCATGTCCTGGACACAGAACTGACAGAGGCAGGGTGGAGGGCGGCCAGGGATCTGCTCTGACCCAGTAGGAGGCCAAGTGCTATTACATGGCCTTCACTGTCACTGTATAGTGATGGCACAGGGGCAGACCTTGCTGTCACCACATGAAGCATCCTGTGAGGCAGGCACGATCTACACTCTCTGCATGCTTTTTGTACTAACTGCAAGCAAGCCTCATGTTGTCTGAGAAGTCAGGAGCCCAACAGGAGTTCTTGGTCAAGGCAGATCAGAAAGGAACTTGGCTGCAACCCACAGCAGGGAGACATCGCCCTGAGCCCTTCTGGGTGCCTGAAGCCCTGCCTGGTCTAATGGCTGGAGGAACAAACACAGCATCTGCAGGGGACTCTGGGCCTCAAACAGGTCATGCAGGGAAGGCCACTCAGGTGTATCTGGGGGATACACATGCTTGTGTGGTCATGGGACTGTTGGTGAGGGCAGCTGCAGGGTGCTACTGGAAGGATGTCAGTGGGCTCCATATACCTGCTGTGGGGTAGGAGCGGTCACATGCTTTCATTCTACCCTTATACAAAGAGCTTTGTCAACTTACCAACAGATGGAGCATAACCATTGTAACGTCCTGAGTCCAAAACCTCCTTCACAGCCCGTGTGACCTCATCATTTGTGGGAAGGTTTCCAAAGACCGTTGGGTCTCCTTTTCAAAGATTGAAAAATAGTAAAGTTCTCAATGACCTGTGGCATGCACAGAGCTGTGTGGTTGTCTGGCCTATCCTGGGTGTTCGCACAAGCTCTGTGCTTCAGAGCCCTGCAATCTGCCAGCCACACAGTTAACCCCACTGCCTGGAGGTTTCAGCCACAGCGCTATGCTCACCTAAGGACAAAGAGATCATAGTTTTCTTTGGGTTGGGCTCCACCTTCATGCTGTCTACGATGGCTCGGACAGGATTGAAAGTCTTCTTTGACATTTCAGAAGCCCTGACAGCCCATCTTGGCTTCCGGCCCTTCACCTTCCCCAGCGATATGCTGTTCCCATTGGTCTTGAGATGAACATCCAGCATAGGGGCATGATCTCCGCAGCCATTCACTTGGATCAGGTACGAGTCCATCCTGAGAGCTGTCAGTGTGAAGTGGATTTCCTGGGCTTAGTTAACACGTGCCAAATAAGTGATCTGCCCACTTGGGAACACAGCCCACGACTCTCCAAAAGTAAAACTTTTGAAAGCTGTAGACCCTACATACTGCCTACGGACAACTCGGTCAGCAGCAGCAAGTAGGGCTGTATTCAGGGCCAGGATGGGGTGAAACCCCACACATAAGTGAGAGCACAATGCAGTGGGAAAGAAAAAAGGCACCTTTCTGTACTAGCTGCACCACTGCCTAGCATGGACTTGCTGTGCTGAGAAGGAGCAGTCCCCAATAAAGCCAGTAGTCAAGAGTTAGCAGCATGTTGTAGTCACTGCTTGACTGCAGATTAAATGTTCCTCTGACAGAAGGGTCAGGTCACCCCCTCCTCTTGCCCAACTATCAACCAGCACACCTCAAGCCACAACCACAAGGATCAGCCCGCTACGTGTGTTCACATCCAGAATGTCCCTCCAGTCTGCAGACAGAAACATAGCACTGTTCAAATCAAATCCCAGATGCCAAAAAGGTAGTTCTGGTCCAATGTTATCAAAATGCACCAGGCAGTGTCAGGGTATAGGTTACAGACACTTGCCTCCGTCAGCAGAGCAACAGGAAGCAACAGCCCAGCCCAGAGACCCTAGGTCAAAAGACAGTGCTTAGAAAATGGAGCAAGACTGGTATGGCCAAGAGGAAAACCACAGAGGTGGCACTGCCCTAAGCAAAGGGCACATAGTCCTGCCTGAGGCTGGGTAACAAGCAAGGCACAGCAGAGGAACAGCTGCCTTCAAGGCCCCAAAATGCACACAGAAGTGACTTGTATTCACAGAGCATAAGCCATACCCAGCCAGCAAAAGCCTTACTTGTGAACTGATGCTGACTCAGGGCTTTCCACCTGTAGGTCAGGCACAGGGCAGGCAGAGACCTCCTGAACCAGCAAGCCCATTCTTGCTGATGTTGGCACACTATCTTTTAATCCTGCCACAAACTGCTTATGCTCTCTGTATTGCCCTATTTCTCTGCTCCATTGAAAGGAAAATTCGGTGAACGGTAGCCCCATTCTTGCAGATATTCACAAACAGCTACCTCTTCCTTGCTGCAGAGGCTGAGCTGGAAGAGTTGTAGCGTTGCCTGGTTCAGGCAGGATTTGCCATCTGAAAAAACTTCTCACTGTTTCAGTGAAGTTTGTGCCTAGAGACGCCCCATGCTGCTGCATTTACTCTGCCAGCAGCGCCTCATTAGCCTGTTTATAGCAACTCAGGCTGATTTAACAGGGTCACAAAGCAAGACCTTGGCTTCTCTGCTGCTAAGACCTTCTGGGTCTCCTTTCTGGCAAAAGAAATGCAGCTGAAGAAACATGCAGCAGGGCTGCATAAGAACTGAGCAGGGCCGTGAGTCTCATATCTCAGTTCAACAGCAGAGCTGAGTCCCAAATGCACAAGGTAGAGTATATCCCAGCAGAGCCTTCACACCACCCTGCAACATGGTTCTCACACAAAAGGGAGCTGCACACACAGGCCCAATGAATGCCTTCAATGTAGGCAGCCAGGGAAGACCTCCCCACCTCTCCCCCTGAAAAAAGCAAGGTACCAGAGCACAGCACTTTACCTTCTAGAGCACAGAGAGGGAGACACTGACAAGCTTGGGGGTCCAGTCCCTACTTTTCATCCAGGACAAATCCCCTTGAGAAGAAATCCCTGCAAATCCTTGCCCATGAAATAAGCCCCAAAACTGGGCGTTGGGACCAAATCATTTACCCATTGGCTCACAGAGAGGGCTGCTCTCCCCACCCAAAACCGCCCTCTCCTCCCCATTGCAACTGTGTTCACTTCAAACACCTGGAACATGTCTGCTCATTAACTCTTTCTGGGGGCAGCTTACAGAGGGACGCAGCTTGGCTTCTTGGAGGCCCTGGACTGCCACCCTTTGGCACGGCTTCCCTCAGTCCTCGAAGACTGCGGGGGTGCAAATCTGCAGAAAGTGCAGGTGTTCTAGCCCTAGCACCTTGTAATGCACCAACAGTGGGCTGATGGACCCCAAAGCCTGCCGAAAGCAGCATTCTGTCCTGACCTCAAAGGCTCTGGGCTCCCAATGCACCAGCTGAGAAACAACAGTTTGTGGCACCTTTACAATCAGGGGGCATGTTCCTTCACAGGCTGAAGGGAGGCAGGCACCTCCCTAGCCAGTGTCTTGGAGGCACCAGGACCTGAAGGGTTAAAGGAAGGTCAGGTTGCCACAGGTTTGGGGTTTTTGTTTGTTTTGTTTGTTTGCTTGTTTTGGGGCGGGTTTTGGGGTTTTTTTTTGGTTGCTGCAAGGCCCAAGCAAACTCATAATTTTGGCAGCTAACTGAAATGATGCAATTCTTCCCGCTCTGATCATACTGCAAAGCACAGATGACATCATTCCCAGAAGGCCCTTTTTTTGCTAACTGATGTGAAATCTATGCCTTCCTGTCCCTTGACTCCTGCAGGCCTGGGATAAATAAGAGAGGCATCTGCATCCTCCCTGTCTTCCAAGGGCTGCTGTGATTTTTGCCTGTTTACACCTGCTCCTGTGTGGGAGGAGGAAGGACACTTGTGCTCAACCCATGCTCATTACACCGTCAGCAATAAGGCTGCACCTCCCCATGTGCAAGCAGTGGCCCGTTCACCCAGCATTGGGGCTGGGGTGATACTGCTGGGGTATCTCGACCTGCTGTTGATCACAGTGCTGTAATTGCACAGCTGAGGCCACAATGGGGGCCAGGGACTTGGGGCTGGAGGCAGACTGGGAGGCAGCGGGGTGCAGGCAGTGGGTCTGGCCAGGGTCCCCAGCCCCAGGCTGGATGGCAGGCCTCCCACAGCAGCCACCCCCCGGAGGCTTTAGACAAGGAATAGCACCTTTCAAAAACGCTTCACAGAGAAACATCTTGTATTGAAGCTGCTTGGACTCTCTTCTGTTGAGAGCTGCACAGTTACAGACTATTTCTCGCTTCTTTTTACTGAAGCCTGACACGAGAAGGTCATGCAGGCCCTCTCCAAGCACCTGTGAGTTATTTTCTCACTTTCCCCCGCTGGCCCCATCCTTTGCCATGCTGCAGCCCTGCCAGGGTTAAACACAGCACTGGGAGGCCTCAAGGACAACTCTGCATGGTCTGCCTAGCAACTACCCCAAAGCTGATGCAACCAGAGCTCTACCACACTGCAGTGGGGTTCAGGGGAGGGCACAGTGGAAGCCTGCTGCCAAGAGGGGAAAAAATGTGGCTCTGGAGACAGAGGTAGACCCACTTACATAAGGCTGAGAACCTGCCCAGAAGCGGGGGAGAACAGTGGTGTACAATTGGGTCAGCTGGTTTCTCGTGCTATTACTGTGCCTTTCTCCCAGCTCTGCATGACTCCAGTCCTTCTCTGGATGCTCTCACATGGGGTCTGCAGTCCACCACCACCCTGTGGTCAGAGAGCTTCATGTTATTAAGTATTTGAGAGGTATACAGTGACAAAATGCAAGATAAAAGAAAGCTCTTGGAAATTAACTGGTACAGAACAGTGATTTTGCCTTTTCTCTGATCACCTTCCTTCCACTCTCCTGCTCTTTCCTTTTTTTTTTTTTTTCTAATACATATGCCAAGAACTATGTTTCCAGTGAGCCAGTTCAGACAAGTTGAGCAGATATCTAAGGGAGCAGCCTTTGGTAAATCAAGTAGGATTGTTATAGGTAGAACTAGAAATTCATGGTGCAGGCTTCCCTTTGAAACTGAAAGGCTACTTAGTCCCACAGATGCAGCATGGCAACAGGGATGTGACATATTGCTTATTTAGGGGGATGTGACAGAAATTCTGATGTGCAGATCAAGTCTTGAGAAAGAAAATCAGACCAATCGGAATCTTGTCTAATGTTTTTAATTAACTTAAAACCACAGCATGAGCACACAGCTCAGCACTTCATATCGTACAAATATGGCCAAGCAACCCCTTGTATGGTACAGTGAAAGAGGTGGCCATACCCTGCAGGATGCATTTCTGCCAGCAAGGCAGCTGGCTGGCTTGACTGTCAGGACCTCTGTACCCCAGTAGCCCTACTAGCCTCCCTGCTGCAGCTTGCTCCTCTGTCTCAGCAGCTCTCCCCCCCAGGTACCTTGTTGCATACCTCTTCAGCTCCCTCTTTCTTGTGTGGCTTGACCAATTGATTTTTGCTCTTTCCAACAGAAGGAGAAACTGGTGATGGTTTCAGTATTTTTTCGTACTGCCTTGTTCTGGTACCAGGACTGCCCAGAGCCCCGTTTCTGTGAAGGGAGGCCAAGCCAGCAAGAGCAAGCAGTTGCCTCTTCCAGGACCACCACAGTTACAAAGCAGGACTCTCTCGAGTGGAGCACAGGCTCAAGCATCACTGCGCTGACAAACCTGTGTCTCTGTCATGCTGCAGGCAGGACGTGCACCAGTAGAGTTTTGCCTGTGTGCCCTGTACCCCCATTCAGGGTGTACTGCTCCAGGGACAGGCAACCAACTGGTACTCTGCACAAAAATCCACCAGGGTCAACAACAAATCACTTTACTAGTTACATCTTCACATTTTGCTTCTATTTTCAACAGTTCTGTCTGCTCCTTTCTGACACTAGTACAGCCCCAACCATTTCAGGGCTGGTTTCCACGAATATGCATCTAGCGTAATCTCTGTTTGGTCTCTGCACTTCCAGTTGAATCAGCTTTTAATAACCAAATATATGATTTTTCTTCCTCTTTCTTTAAGTCATTTTATTGTTAATCTCTCATTTAGATGAGCAAACAGCCATGAAGCCTCCTTGGCTCTCATGAATTTTGTGGCTGTTTATCGATTCCCACAGCATATTTATCTTTATAACACTGCAGTAGGTTTCCTGAAATGCAAAGGACAAACCTTGTCTGTTACAGGTCAGGTCACATAGGCACTCTGGAAATGCATATATTCACAGTTAAATCTGCCTTGCGGTGTGGATAGGGCTGCTGTGCCAAATCTACATATACCTGTA